AAGACAATATCTGTTACTTTCCTAAACATTTACTGGACTGCAGCTAAATTTATTTTTTCATATAAAATGAAAGTGTGTCTGACACAATTTACTTTTTTTTTTATAATGCTATATTAAATCAGCCCAGAGACATTGACAACAGAGTGGTAAATATTTAAGATTACATCTTCTTTCCTACAACATTATTCTTTTCCTTCTCTATCAGATCTACTGTCAAATAACTCAGTTCCTCTTTTTATTCTCACTCTTCAAACACTCTCAGCATCTCAGCTACACTAGGATCATCAGATTTCATTGGCAAGATAAGGAGCCATCAGAAGTCAAAAGAGCACTTTGGGCATGGTCCAAAGTTACAGGAGTAAACAGAAAATTAAAAAAAAAAATTGTTCAACTGGCTCAACACAGAACCCCAAATATTTATTGTCACTTCAAATGATTGTATGCCAGAGTCTCCATTAACATTCATTACGATTAAATGTTTATTTGAAAATGGAAACAGTAAATGGGACAAAACATGTCCAGATAGAAAGCTCTAATAGTCATAATCTTTCTGCTGTCTAGAGATTGTTAGAAGACCAAAAAAAGCATTTATTTCCATTTCTCTGTGTAAGAAAAAATCAGAGAAATCTTTAGAAAAGTAACATTGTCTAGAAGAGCTAGGATAAACCTGCAGTTAGTACTATGATCTGGAATTCCCTGCAGTTTGACAGCTACCTTGCAAGAAACACTACAAATCAACAGGCAATCATTACACACTTCCTTCGGAAAAAAAAAAAAAAAAAAAGCAAATTTTAATCATTCAGTTGAGCTTAGATATGATGGCACAATACAAACACACCCTGCCATTCACAAACATTTCTCCAGAGAAAGCGTTTGTGTTTGCTTTTCTATAATCACACGTTGGGCCAAGCAGGAGGTTGTATTACTTGGCTAGTTATGGGCTTTTCCTGCTGCTGTTTTGCTTCTCCTATAACACAGACTCACTTTATTTGAAATTCTGATACAAACCACAGCACTAGGGCAAAGCTCAACATTTCAGGGATCTGCCTTTAGCCATAATTATAGCCTCACCTTTGTGCTCTGCACTTTCAAGGGTGGCAGCTGCTATAAATTACCACAGGTGGAAATAAAAAAATATATATAAAATAAACCCGCAGCTTTCTTGAAGGGACACCAAACAAGCTACAAGCTTGTCCACTGACATTTTCCTCCTGGATAACTCAGGCCAGGAGGTCAAAACAATGGCTGACTAACAAGACAGCGTGTAGGGAAAAGGTTACCATTAATAATGCAACAGAAGAGCACTATGTGGACAAGTAATGGTAGAAAAACATACCGGGATGATCAGGAGGATAAAGAGGTCATGAAAGAAATGACTAGATGCTAGCTGGAAAAGCAATGTTCTGAAAAAGGTGCAATGTTGTTAGCTGAATGCCCTTCCAAGTGTTCAGTAACTTCTGCTCCCAAAAAATATTTCCCCCAGAGGTAGCAAATACAGATGTGCTAATGTTCTTTCTTCATTATTATCATAAGCCAATGCTTGGATGATTTCACTAGATGGCTTTCCTGAAAAACTTCTGACTTGCATGCTCAAAACAGACAACACAAGGAAGGGTAGCTTGAGAATAGTGCTATTCAGGCAGCTCAGAGAGGAGGATTCCCTGCCAACCACAACAACACAGACAGTGGTGGGTTTGTTGGCTGATGCCACCCATCACATTCACAGTCACCCCTAAAAGTTCCAGTAGACTGTGCACTAATTCAACCTTTGGTCTAACAAATAGATATTGATATCTCCAAAAAGACTCATAAAGGATTCCTGAAGTAAGCTATTATTAGCTAACAAAGTCAGCTTCAGTGAGAAAAAAAAACCTCCACGTCCTATCATTTCAAGATTTAGAAAGAACCACATACAAAACATAGACAATTTCAGCAGCATTTTCATAGCCAATACTGGTATATAACGATCCTGTACCTAGCTCAGATATAGCCTTCAAACCTAGATCTTCTTTCCCTGAACAGTGGAACACCAACCTTGGGAATGGAAATCCAAAAGCTCCACAAACAAGAAGCACAGGCACAGTGGTGCTCATACATCAGACCTTTTGAAAAAATTAATGTACTCCACTTTTCTGCAGACAGCACTGCATTTCAAATCCACTGTGGTACAGACTTGGAAGCTTAAGGTCTCAATGGTGCAGATTTCTGATTTCCAAAACAAAGTGAATTAGTAGTATTTTGACAAAGAAAACATCTTCATATGAGAAACAAATAATTCCAGGGGTGCATAATGCATCTGGATGCTAGCAAGCTGGAAACCTCTTTCATTTTTGTACAGCTAAGTATTCTCTAATTCTTCTCCTACACTACTGTGCTCCAGTTACAGCAGACCAAGCCTTGTGTAAATAGGAAAATACAGCATTTTCTATAAACTACAAGAAAGGCACAGAGTTTAAATAATGGTTTTATAATCAACAGCCCTTTGTATCTATAGTCCATGACCAGAAAATAAAATCTGTTTTTCATAATAAAGAACAAGTGGCTCACTTACAATTCCTTACACGAATAATAAACATAAGTGCAAGCCACTGATCAGAATGAAGTAATTACAAGGTAAAAGTGGATTGAAGAATTGTTTTCCTTTCTGGTAACAGCTTTAGAAATGGTTTTGCAGTTCAGTTGCATGCAGACAATTCATATGGAGAAAAGGGTGTGTGGGTGGAAGTATGCAATTGTACAGAAAAGAGAGAGACAGGGTGTAGGAAAGCTGCCTGTTCAGTAATCTTTTTGCTAAATAATCCCTTCTCTTACCAATGGCAAAATGGAAAATAGATTCAGTGGCCTTGCATTCTCTTTCACTGCTTAACTTACAGAGAAGCCTTCAGTCACAGCCTTCAAGTACAACACAGTAAAAATTATTTCAGAACTGCTTTGGTGAGGTAGTAGGGAAAGCAGCCTCTGCACAGTATCTTCTACATATGGGAGATAACAAAAGATTCCATTTCCTAACTCTCTTTAACTCTGATCCTGTTTTTGTGATTTTAGCTGATCCTCATTGAAGGCTACTGAAGTAAAGACTTCACAGGACTATGACTGGGACCTTTTAAAAATAGCTAAGATTTACCCATATCAACAAAAACTACTATATTTGCTGCACTACATCAGAAGTTTGTCCTGGCTATAATTGTTGACGTCTCAAAGATCAAACCAAGATTCATCACTGCAAAATGTCTGAGGCAAAAGAACAAAAACCTCAGGAGAAGAACTAAATAGGTCTTTATAAGACAATTATAAAACAAAAATAAGACAATTAGAAATGACTACACTTATTTTAAAGATATTACTGCTTCAGAAATGCTAACAAATCAATATGAATACAGTGGCATGTGTGAATCAGGAAACTGTTGCTGCTGTATCTTCAACATCACCCAATCGATATGGAGAAGAAGCTGCCCTGCATTATGGACCAGTTCTTTCTTTTCTGAAATGTCAAACATTTTACCCAGAAGCAGAAGGACTATACTACAGAGAAGACAGATTTACAGTCATATCCCAACTGATTCATTCCCAGAAAAATTAAGCTACATCCTAAGACTCTCCAAATCTCTAATGCTCTTTATGCTTCATTGGCTTTATGCACAGCCCTAAAACTGCTATATGTTAAGACACAAAACCAAAATGATCTGGGCTAAGTGTTCTCAACCAGTGACACTCCTGCTGCACTCCTTTTTCTAAGAGTGCAGCATTGGAGGAGAAAACATAAAGAGCTGGTTCGCAGAGCCAGCCAAGGAGCTAAGCAACACTAATCCAGCATCCCTCAAGGAAAGGGAATAGCTTTTCATAAAGCTGCTTCTCTTTCTAACCCTGTGATATCTCATCTCTGTATCAGAGACATACTAGAGAGCTGAAAAGATACAAAGGTGCGGAGACAATGAGTTTTGCTAGACTGTGAGCTCCACGTACCTCAGGCTTAGAAATGCAAAGCAATGGAGAAGCCAGGATATGGGCAGGTAAAGAATAGGGGTTTTGTACAACTTAAAGCTTAGTCAGAAGCACATGGAGAGACTAAGGCAACAGAGTATTCAAATAATGAAAACATGACAATCTGTAGATTCTGAACTGGCAAATTCTCTTCATCCCTTACCTAATGAACCAAAGAAATCACGCTAGACCTAAAGCACTTATATCTGAACAGTTCTCTGCCATCAGATTTTATTCATAACACCTGAATTATAAAGCTGACAATCAAAATTTATCTGAGGATACACAGGGAAATGAGACTGTGTCAATCTGTAGGGCAATTCTAATGAGACAAGTTGTCATTTTTTCATAGCTGATGTTCTTAAAAATCAAGAAAAGAGATGGAGAAACAGTGAGCAAATGAATAAATATGCCTACCTTTGAAGCATCTAACTCCAAACAGTGTGACAGGGTACAGGAAAAGCCTGGATTTCTTCATGAACACATCTGTGCAAACCAATCTGAGCAGCTGGAAGTAGAGCAGGTGGATGCAAAAAGGGTTTGGTTTATACCACAGCAACTCTTACGACTCTTCAAGTAGGAGGACACCAGGCCAGGATTGAGATTCAGATGCCTTTCCTATCTATAAGGATCCCTAAGGATTCAATCTCCATCTGGAATAAAGTAAAACACCCCCAGCACTAGTCTCTCTAGAAGTTCCTGTGCTCTAAACACCTGAATTGCCAGCAATAATGTGCATGCCATAAGCCTTCTCCTCCTTGAAAATTCATTTCCTCTCCTCTGTCCACAAGAAATCAAACTGAAACAGAACCTTCTCTAGAAGATGAACATGAAGAAGGATGACTGAAGTGAGTCATTGAGTTCAAAGGAAACAAACGTTTATTATAGTAGTATTTATTATCTCACCTTTGACAAAGGGGAAAAGGTAGAGCTCATTTTGTACATATCCATGTCACAGACAGAAAACAGAGGAAGAAAGGATATGACAGAATGACAGAGGTTCCTGGCAACTAAAAAAAAACCTGCCTGCTTTCTCACCCTGTACATGCCAAAGAGTTGAAACTTGTCCACTTTTACCTTGTGACTGAAACTATGCCCCAGGGTGGCAGTTCCTTGACCTAGAAAGGGTCCATCTCAGTGACACATGTGGTCTCTGCAAGAGAAAGAGTCATTCTATCAGAGACAAACAGGCTCCCATCCCATTCAGTCCACCCGTTTCCCCCCACTCACCCACTTCTGCGCAATTTTTAAAAGCTGGTATAAGAGCTCGGAAGGATCAGAAGAGACCGCAGTCATCCCCAGTGCTCCTTTACACAGCCACCAACACTGAATCAGCAAAGATTCCTACAGACCTCAGACACAAGGGAGATTGTTATTTGAAAGGGAAATGAAGTAACTCCACATCAGCGATTGATCAAAGAGGGACTCCAAGTTATTGTTCCCATGACACCTCTTGTTAAGTTGACCTCCAGATGAAACCTGAGCCTACGAGTTGCGTATCAGAATACCTAGCACACTACTGAATGTCAAGTTATTGAGAGCCTAAATGTATTTGCTTAATATCTGAAAGATTATCTTTCTTTATAACACACAAACAATTGGTGGATCAGAGTAATTGTTTCACAACCGCAGAGCTTTTTGTTCCCGTAATCCACTAACTGGGAAGAGAAGCCAACCTGCATAATGAACAGAGCAGATTAAATTGTTAGCTGTCACACATGAGATAAAAGAGAGAAGTAATTTCTGTGCCTCTGTTGCATGGGCAGGATTCAGTTCCAGAACACATGCAGTCTTGCCAGTTCCTGGCATTATCAATCCATTAGTGAGCCTTCATCTCTCCCGCAACAATCCCTTCCCTCAAATGTCTTTTTAAAATCTCTCTCTGAAGATTTATCCCTTTGTCTCACAGTGTGTTGTCCTTTGTCCAGTCACTGAGGAAAAATTAAGCGCCTGTTTTCTGGCCTTTCCCTGCAGAATAGCTGAGCCAAGAGATCGAAAACACATCCTCCTCTTTTTCTAATAACAATCTCCCTTTTGGGATTCAGGGTTTTCAGAAAATTAGAGGTCTCTGAGAAAATGTTGGTTCTCAAAAACACCACATATACTTCTCTGACATGGTGGAGAGAAACCAGTCGTGATGATAAGAGTGTCATTATGAGTGAAATATGCAAGAAGCATTAGATCACGTTAGAGTTTTGGAACATTTTAGATGAATCCATGATACAATTAAAACACAAGAAATTGATTTGCACATATAACAGAGAAAAAGTAGAAAATTGTAAACAATTGTATATTAAAGACTCTCAGATAAACCAGTGAGAAATACCCACAACAAACACCAAGATGTCTCCAATTCAAGTATAAACTAGTTCAGCTAGTTCTAGGCACAAAGGGTAAATCTCTATGGCCTGAAATATCAATTTTCCACATATAAAAAACAATAATCAAAGTTTTCCTTCTAGACTAGTTCAAGAAGATCCAGCACCGAGACAGTACTTCAGCAGTTTTCTTATTTACCTTTTCTTACGAAAAAAAGAAAAGATAATTCTATGCCTCACCAATATGCAGACAAGGATTTTGAGTATCCCGAGTTGACACTAAAACTACACAGCATGTAGTTTTAGCACTAGAAAATTTCAGTCAGCTGTAATTGCAACTCAATCCACTGTTCTGTGGCCACAGTTTATATTTGTAGGGTCCCTCTAACTTCGAAAAAATACCTTAATGAACCTGTACTTGCAGGCAAGTAAACTCAAACTGATGCAGAAAATCTGGACCACAAAAGCTCATATAAAACACGTTGTAGAACAAATTAATTTGAGCCTAATACTTTTTTAATGCATTGAAGAGTTAATACCTGTGCAGACAAGCAGCACTTCACCAAGAATAAGTGCAAACCAAACTGGATGTGTTTGAAAATTTTAATTTCAAATTAAATTCTAAAGGAAACTATTTTTTTTTATCTGTCAATTTAGATGTTGCTCCACAACACACAGGAAAATTTGCAGTTATTGCACTGAAATGTGACATTCCTTTGGCAAAGTGGACATACTGACATATATCTTGGGTCAATGGGACATGGCATAAGTCAAAAGAAAGTGAAAATGAATCAGAACCTAAAAATACCCTTTCTTTCCTTTGTCCACACAGTTTAAGATGTCTGCCTGTGATTAGACATCCGAAGTGGAGTAAGATGAAATCCAGCACCAGTAGTTTCCTGTGAGCACTCATATGTACGTATTTCGTTGACAGAACTTAAAGAGGAGCTTAGCTTGGTCAAGAGGAGAATCAGTCCAGGGCTGAAGGCAAAAAAGAAGATGACAGTGGAATCCTGTGTTTCTCTGATACAGTCATAAATGTACAACTATACAAATATAAAACAAAAGAAAAGATCAAAACAGAGGGAATCATCTTGCTGAGAGCTCCTAGCCTTGCTGGCTACCGTTTGACTCAAAAGATCACTTTTTTCACAGTTATCATATTGATGATATGTTCAGGTTTTGAAGGGACAAGCTCCATTACTGATCAAGTTTGTTTCTCCCATCCTCCACCTTACTGGTCTTTCCACTAAAAATGCATTTATTATTTTTGTCATTTTTCAATGCAAAGTCAATTCAAACATGTCATTTAAATGCCAAACACGTGTTTTTAAGTGAAGAACAGGTGTCCCATATCACTTCTAATGGGATCTATTCTATACTATGTCTTCAGAATAATCTCGTAGAAGCACCAACTTCTTCTCTAAAACTGGACTTCAAAGTCAGAAGACTATATAGTATAAACTATAAGTTGTGTTAGCTAACCTACAATGCAAATGTTTGTCTTTGCAGAATGAAAATTTTGAATTGCAATGAAAGTGTGCAGTGATTCTATTCTCACGAGGTGTATTTTTTTTTAAATCAAAAATACCTATGTAATATTCAAGAACTGCATACTATTCTACGTTATTCAGGATCTATGTTTCTGAGAGAATACAGCAAACTTCAAGTTTGGTGTTTATTTTTAGACATCACTTCTGTTTCCTAATAATTTACCATGAAGAAATGGAGAGCAAAGGCAAAGACAACCATTAATACTGGGAGAAAAATTAACAAAAGGTAAATATTACAAATGAACACTAGAAAAGGAAGAACAGACTTCTGTTTTACTTTGAAGTTTTTCAGGATTTTCCTTAAAAAAGATGGTGAGACAAAGAATAATACCTCTAAAGGTCACTGCTCTAACTACAGATATTTATTATTAAAATCTATCCAAAATCTATCAAAAATTTAGCAAACTGAATTTTAGTGAGTGTTCAGCTAGAGAGTAATCAGACATAAAATTAAAATAAAAAATATATATTAACAATAGAGTGCATTGCACTGATTTGCCTAGAGTGAAAAATTAACTAGTTATTAGTTTGAGCCCAGTCTTTGTTGTGATCTCACTATAAATTCCTGAATGAAAAATACTTATCCTCTTTTCCTGCTGAATGCGCTATTCTCTGTCTTAGGACATCCATCTCCTGTTGCTGCTGCTGATGTTGTTTATTGAAATGCCTTTCTGAATGTGATAAATGCGTTACCACGCACAGGTCTGGCAGCAGTTTGACATACACGGTAGGCATTTCCTGTAGCTTTCTTTCTTCATTACGGAAGATCTGCAACTAGATTTGTTCCCCAAATATGAATGAGATTACCTAGAAAGCCAAGAAGTTTTGGGGTTTGAGGCAGCCCTAAGTCATCATTTAAAAGAAAACCTTTGTTTTAAAAAAACTACTCTTGGGGCCATCCAGCTTCCCATTTCAGTCTCATGAAATTCCAACTTCAATCTCATGCACCAGTCATTACCTCCTCACTGCAACACATCCTCCCATTTCGGGGTGACATATAAACCTAATCTTAACAAACTAAATACTCAGGCTACTTCTTCACCAGGACTTGACTCTATTTTCAGTCATTCAAAAAACAATTTTCCTAACGAAGACCCAATCCTCTGGGAAATGAGGCCCAAATTTGCTCATCACGGCTGTCATTCACCAAGATACTCAGCATACACCATCACCCAAGACAGGTCCAGGTCATGCAGGAGAAGTATAGAGAGCAGCCTATGAGTGCCAATTAGTGTTCAGATTCGAGCTGACTCAGCTGCAGTAGTAAGATAGTTTAAGTTTTTTGTGTACCAGCAATTTTCTGCTTTCTTGTGCCTATCCTCCAGCTATTACCATGCTTCACTATTAAGATCTTTTTTTTTTTTCCCCACTTAATTCCAAATTTAGCTATCGCTTCCTTAGGCTCCTGACTTTTCTTACTTGTTCATCTACTTTTTGTATTACAGGCTAATGATCTGTCAACTAATATTAAATTATTTGCTCTCCTAATTGCCTATTTTGAAATAATGGATTGTGGAATAAGGTGGCTACCTTAGCACTTTCCCTGTATATTTCAAAAGAAGAAAGGATTGAAACATTAAAAATGAAAGACTGAAACCCCAAGAGAAGCCTAGCTCTATTTATTACTCGCAAAAACACGTCATCCACAAAATTTAAACATTTTACAATACTTCTGTAGTATTTATTTTTTGTCCACGTCCAGTATCAGTTGCTTTCACTACGAGGTTTTCTCATTTTGAGATCAAATGTTCAAAGCATGCTGAACATTTAATATCACCATAACGCTGTACAGGAAAACTAAGAGGAAAAAAAATAAGTGGTTGAATGCACTGCCTTTTTTTTTTTTTTTCCCCTCATAAAAATATTTCCTAAATGCTAATGGAAAAAAAAAGAATTTTAAACAGCTGACCAGGTTTAGGATCAGTTGCAACACAGAGGTTACACAGACAATATACTCAAGAGCTCAGATTTTCCAAAACTTGAAGAGCCTCTGTTAATGTCACTCTCCCTTATAACAGGAAAATGATAGTAGTAGAGTTGCCAATGGAACGTACTCGTACAGGAAACAAGGTCCCCTACTTGTCTCCTTCAAATCCCGTAATTATTTTTTTTGGATGGATTTTTGTTCATGTTTTCAACTCTTCCAGGACTCTACAATGAATCAGTTACACCAGTTGGAGTTACCTCAAACCTCTGCATAGACTGAAGGTGTAAAAAGACATGGAAAAACACTGACTGAAAACCTGCTGGCAACTCAGTAGAGACATTGGAAGGAGCCAAAT